CATCATTAAAAGCACCATTACAACTGAAACCAAGTAGCACCTTCGGTAGAAAGTCCAAAACAAGAATGGAGATGGAGATTGATTTGTGATCTCACCCCTTGCTGTACAGATTGCGGCAAATTAATTAGGCAGCATGGGGAAAGCTGCAGGGCCTCTGCCCATGCCCATTCCATGGCTGTATGGCTTTGAACTACAGAAAATATCCTTTGGGAGATGCTTAATGCTTCTGATTCAAAGTGAAGACAAAGTGTGCTTGTTGTCTCTCTCACCCACAGAAGTTGGTCCAGTAAAAGATATTTTCTCACCTACCTTGTCATTCCAACTGGCAGCAGTCGCGGGCTCACCAGCAATGGTATTAACTAAAGGCTCAACGTTACAACCCAGGGGAGGAGGTTCTTTTAATTTGGTGCCCTTGTTTTCAACTGCTACCTTTACAAGTGATTAACAGACTTTCATTGATCTGATCCCATTCTTGTCCCTGCAGTGAGGATCCCTGTTTTTGCAAAGCAGAGGGCCTCACCTTGTGAGGAACTGTGTGCCTCCTGGGCCATTCAGTCTCTTCACTCCCATTGACTTCACTAGGAGCTCCAGGCTCTTGGCCTATCCCAGGAGATGTTCAGCATCTTGCTGGATCTGGCTCATAAGTTGTTATTGGTACTGTGGCAGTGCCTACAGCTTCCAGTGAGGATCAGAATTCCGTTGTGCTAGGTGCTGTACATACATATATCAAAAGATGGTCTCTGAGCCAAAAAGCTGAAATGTACACATAATTTATCCAATGTGCATCTCACCTTGGTATCTAGGCAGTGAACAAAATCATGGGGAGGCATAAGAATCACAAAGATCAAAAACATACAGAGCTAGATCCTGTGTTGTGCTCTGATCCCTTTGTGCCACTCAGGTAGCACCAAGGGATGGATTATTTCCATAAAGAGTGGCTGGAGAATTCCCTGGCTGGTTAGAAACACCCAAATGGTGTCTAGGGCCCTTAAGCAGGGCTGAAATCCCTCACTACAAGTAGCTGGCCCCCACCCTCTCTCAACTTATTGGGCTTTGGAACCCATGTCCCCTGTCTAGCAAGTGCCGTTTAGTTGAGGTTGAGTCACTCAATCAGGGTACACCAAGCACAGTTCTGCTGCTTGTGATTCACACAACAAGGATAACAACCCTCTGTTGCACTTGCCCCAATCAACAAGGTGACTGGGGATCCAATACCGGCCAAAAGTGATCATTTGGGCAAGCATTTGACCCTTCCTCTCTCCAGCGTGTAATAACAGAGCTAATTTAGACTCAGTTGAGAGTCTTGTTACACACCGCAGAGCTGAAATCACTGATACCTAGGTCTCAGGATGAGACCTGCTTTGGGACAGTGTCTCTGATGCAAGAGACTGCCCAGTGTGCACCAGCAGTGAGGCTCCCCCACTAACAGTTGAAATCACTGAGAGCTGTGTTAAGTAGTGGGACCTGAAGATATCCTGGCCAGTCGGCTGGCAGGGCGGATTGTGGTGATCGGCCAGCAAGGAGACTGGCAGAGAGGATTGGGGCATGGGATTCGACAGCAGGGCATCTGGTGAAGAGGTGTGGTGATCGGCTGGCAGGATGGCCAGCAGGGAGGAACTGATGAGCAAGTGCCTGGGCAACAGAGTGTGTAAGGTGCCTTCTTACCCCCCCTCCACCCAAGGTGGGAGGTGAGCTCTGCAATGCACCTCTGAACTCTGGGTATACACTAAGGACAACAATTGTGAGTGGGGTGCAGAGAAGGGACAGGCACGCTAAAGGGTCATTTGGTTGCTGGTCTTAAGAATCTGAGAGGAAAAGGTCACTGCCCAATGTACTCTGGGGTGGGGCTTTTGCTCATGGTTTTATTTTTATGAATCCTGCTTGCGGCATTTCCCCAACTGATGCCAGGTGACTTCTCTCCTTTTAATAAAAGTTTCTTTTTTACACTCAGACTCTGTACTTGCGAGTGGGGAAGTATTGCCTCTCAGAGGCGCCCCAGGGTCGTGTGTAATTGTCCCAGGTTACTGGGTGGGGACTGGAGCCGGTTTCGTGTTGTATTGTTGAAAAGGAACCCCTAGATACTGAACCTGGCCCTTGCTGCTGCCAATTCCAACGGGCAGAAGGTTACATATGCTATGTCATAAATATAAAGGGAAGGATAAACACCTTTAAAATCCCTCCTGGTCAGAGGAAAAACCCTTTCACCGGTAAAGGGTTAAGAAGCAGGATAACCTCGCTGGCACCTGACCAAAATGACCAATGAGGAGACAAAATACTTTCAAAGCTGGAGGGGGGAGAAACAAAGGCTCCCTCTATCTGTGTGATGCTTTTGCCGGGGACAGAACAGGAATGGAGTCTTAGAACTTAGTAAGTAATCTAGTTAGATATGCGTTAGATTCTGTTTTCTTTAAATGGCTGAGAAAATAAGCTGTGCTGAATGGAATGTAGATTCCTGTTTTTGTGTCTTTTTGTAACTTAAGGTTTTGCCTAGAGGTATTCTCTATGTTTTGAATCTGATTACCCTGTAAGGTATTTACCATCCTGATTTTACAGAGGTGATTCTTTTTACTTTTTCTACTATTAAAATTCTTCTTTTAAGAACCTGATTGCTTTTTTCATTGTTCTTGAGATCCAAGGGTTTAGGTCTGTGTTCACCTATGCAAATTGGTGAGGAATTTTATCAAGCCTTCCCCAGGAAAGGGCGTGTAGGGTTTGGGGAGGATTTTTGGGGGAAAGACATTTCCAAGCAGGCTCTTTCCCGGTTATATATCTGTTAGACGCTTGGTGGTGGCAGCAATAAAGTACAAGGGCAAAAGGTAAAATAGTTTGTACCTTGGGGAAGTTTTAACCTAAGCTGGTAAAAATAAGCTTAGGGGGTTTTCATGCAGGTCCCCACATCTGTACCCTAGAGTTGAGAGGGGGGAAGGAACCTTGACATGCTGTATTCTCATTGCAGCCTCCTAGCCACTAGAACACCTGTCTTCTAAGATTTAAAAAAAAAAAAAACTGTTCACACAGATGAGCTGCTTGTTGAGCTTAATTAGAAGAATTTGAGCTAAAAATTGGAGGATCCTGTTGTTAGCACCAAGTGGTGACCTTGCTGTTGTTGAAGTTGAAAGAAAAACTCCCCTTTACTCCAAAGGACGCAACAGCTAGGCCAGAGTGCTGAATTTTCCATCTGTTTTCGTACTTCCAAGTGAGCTGTGGCCCATTAGGAAGACGTCTGGTAGGGTTAAGCCAGCCCTTCAACTGGGCAGCAATAAAGTGGAAGGGTGGGCAAGAGTGGTAGGAATTGCCACTGCCAGATACTCCTGAAGCAGGACACCGAGACTGACCAGGAGGGTATTCTGCCCCTACAGACCGTGTCTCCTCCCTCTGTGGAGGAAAAGTGTGGCAGCCTGGAGGAGTATCTGCTGGAAGACACTGGCGGAGTGGAGGAATGCAGACTTGCCATGAGGCGTGACACCATTTTCAATAACACAGACACCATCAGACTGGCAGTTCTTTGTTTGCTTATGTCATTTCTTTCCTCACCCTGTGCCTGAGTCTGTTTCTGTGGGCTGGACAAACAGCTGAGAGGGCAGAGCTCACTGGTCAGCAGTGGTGGGGGAGGCTAGCTGAGGTGTCAGGTCAAGAGGGAGAAGTGGGTGGGGGAGTGGGTTAGAGGAATTGCTAACAGTATAGTTAACAAGAGCTGGTGCCTTTTGATGTTTTGCTAATATGTTGTTTCTTTTATTCTATTCAAGTTTTTATACAGCCCTGGCCACCCTAGTATCCAAGCATCTTCTGGAGGTGCGTGAAGTGATGTGAATGATATCTGTCACGAGTTGTGGTTCTTAGTTCATGGGGGAGTTCCTTCCACAGTCTGGGCCTGGCCCTGGAGAAAACCCTGTCTCCTACATGGCCCAGTTTTACTCCACTGTGCCTGAGGAGAGGAGTTGTTGAATGTGGTTCTCATCCCAGAGATCTAGGTGATCTTTTTGGTACCCTGTGCTCACACCTTTAAATGCTTTGATGACAAGGACTGAGAGCTTGAATCTGACATGATGTTCTAGAAGGAACCAATGTACTGAGCGGAGGACATGACATATGTGCTTGCAGCCTGACTTGACCAGTTCTAGCTTGTGAGCATCTTCAGCTGCAGGAGAGCACATTGTGGCTGCAATCTCCTTAAAGTGCCAGTCAGCATAACCTCTGTCTTGCTCAGGTTCTGCTTTGTCTGGCTGTTCTTCATCCATATGATTTTGTCCATGCACTAAGCCTGCCTAGTGACAGTGCGGTTCTCATATGTTGTGAAGGATAGATTGACAGTACAACAGATAAATATTCTGTTCTGATTTTAAAGCACTTTGCACAGGGACTGTCTCTTCATCTGTGTGCCTGGCACATTGGACACTACAATAATACAAAAATAAAGTTTAAATTACAATATTAAGTAGTAAGAAGAGGAGGATAACTTGCCTTTCACAGAAATGTTTTATTTTTATTATCTGTTGGGGCTGGTACCTTCTGAAAACAGAGATGTGATTTTATAATGTAGGGTACATTTGATTTTATGTGATTTTGTTTAAAATGTTTAATGTGAGAATTAGTGTGTGTACTCTACTGCAATCTAATTTCAAAGGAAAAGCTGGGTAATAGCACACCAGATAGCACTGAGTTGCATGGAGGATGTTTAGGTGAGAAGTCACTGTAGTTACACATTAATTAAAATCCAGTATGGGAAGCACTTTATCTGATCCCATATTTGATTGAAGAACCATAAATTACTTGCTAGAATTGATATTGATCTCCAGTGAGGAACTGAAAAATTATCTGTCTTTTTTGGAGGAAAGCACAGTTCACATCTGTCTATTTATATTCTGCACAAAGCATATCCACAGTTTCCAGGAACTGAATCTATAGTTTCAAAGTGTTCAACTCACCCTTTTTGTGTCTGTTCTCATTTTAAAAAGTCTCCAGACTGCTGCTGGAGCTCAGCTCTACAGTCACTTAGCAACAGACATTGCAGTTACAAAACTACTAAAACTTATCCACAGCTATACCACATGAAGCTATGCGGCGATCCTGTCAGATGTCTTAAGGTAAGCAGGCTTAGATGTGGCCAACACTGGGATGGGACTGGAACTTGTAAGGTGCTTCAGGAAGTGTGTTAGTGATTACGTAGGTCATATATTTCACTCGGAGTCAATGTGTTAGGGAGACTAGCCCTCACAGAGACACCATCTTTAAGATGGAAAAATCACGGAGCAGGTCCTCAAGGAATCAATTTTGAAGCACTTCGAGGAGAGGAAAGTGATCAGGAACAGTCAGCATGGATTCACCAAGGGCAAGTCATGCCTGACTCATCTAATTGCCTTCTATGAGGAGATAACTGGCTCTGTGGATGAGGGGAAAGCAGTGGACGTCTTATTCCTTGTGTAACACCCCCTCTCCACCGGTAACCTTCTTTAATGGCAATCTGCTTACAGGTTTTGATGGACAGGTCTGGGTTCTTCTGGATCCTGCCACCCACTCAGCAGGGTGTCTCTTCTTTATTTTTTCCTATGAATTAATTTGGCAGTGCCTCCACCTCCCTTACTCCTTCCTGGCAGGGTCACCAAGGCAGCTTGGGAGGAAAATTCTAACCACAGGGTAATCCCCACTTACTTGCCAGATAGTTGAAGACTTCCAAGAAATAACACAAACACATACAATATATTCAACACAATAATTATATTAAACAGGAGACAAATATAACGTAACAAGGTAAAACAGTATTTTTAGGTTCACCAGTGCCCATGCGGCTAATACCTGTGAATTTCCCCAGTCACGTGACTTGATGTCGCAAAATGTAAGATTAGTGACCCATTGGTACACGTACTTTGTTGGGACCCTTGATGACCTATGACCACAAAATTCTTCACTGCAGCGGTTTAGCAGTGTGGCTGACTGGGTTCAGTACAGCCCAAAGGACTCACAAGTGGGAGAAGGTGGTAAATCCCTCCACAGGTTTAACAGGCAGCAGGTTATAAAATCCCCAAACCCTTACTCCCTGGCTTGAGGACACAGTTCAGGGAGTAGGGGGTCCCCAAAACAAATTCCCTGACTAACTAAAAGATGGTGCACTCACAAACTCCATGAATGATCCTCAGGTTCAGAGATGACTCTGGACTCCTTGGTCACTGCAGAGTTTGCCTCTGCTGGCAGGGATCCTCTTCAGGCACGAGTCAGGCTGCTTCAGTCCCAGGATTTCCCCTCACCACAAACGGGTGCAGGGCTCAAGGTGCAGATTGCACAACTGTACTAAAATCCAAACTGTAGTCTCCTAGCCCAGCATCCAGACACACACTCAGCAGGCAGCAGCCCTGAACTAGCAGACAAAGCAGAGCTGACCATGTGGTGCCTGGTCTCACCTAGGGAGCTGGAGGGCTAAGTCAGCCTGGCTGGGGAAGTTTCCTAGCAAAACTCTACAAACTGGGAATCATCAGTGGAGAAGGAAAAGCCCAGCTGAGGGATCTTGCTTTCAGGTCCCTAGAGGCCAGTTTTCAGGGGGAACCTTGCATGCAGGCCTGGGACTCACCACCTCCCCACACAGCCAGTAATGCCCTTGCCCTGGTTGGCTCCAGACTGACTCAAAAATGGCTTCTCCCCTTTCCTGAGCTCCCTTGGAAGAGCATCTCATGCCCTATTGATTGCCGGGCAGACTCTGAGTTTGCCTTGGCTCCCCCTCCCTACCTGGGACAGTGTGCCTCTCCCTGAGCTGCCAGCAGACAGAGCCCCAGGAATCTAGGTCATCTCCTTGGGGGTTACACTTGACTTTAGCAAAGCTTTTGACACGGTCTCCCACAGTATTCTTGTCAGCAAGTTAAAGAAGTATGGGCTGGATGAATGGACTATAAGGTGGATAGAAAGTTGGCTAGATCATCGGGCTCAATGGGTAGTGATCAATGACTCCATGTCTAGTTGGCAGCCAGTATCAAGCGGAGTGCCCCAGGGGTCGGTCCTCGGGCCGGTTTTGTTCAATATCTTCATTAATGATCTGGAGGATGGCGTGGATTGCACCCTCAGCAAGTTTGCAGATGACACTAAACTGGGAGTAGTGGTAGATACGCTGGAGGGTAGGCATAGGATACAGAGGGACCTAGACAAATTAGAGGATTGGGCCAAAAGAAATCTGATGAGGTTCAACAAGGACAAGTGCAGAGTCCTGCACTTACGAAGGAAGAATCCCATGCACTGCAGCAGACTAGGGACCAAGTGACTAGGTAGCAGTTCTGCAGAAAAGGACCTAGGGGTTACGGTGGACAAGAAGCTGGATATGAGTCAACAGTGTGCCATTGTTGCCAAGAAGGCTAATGGCATTATAAGTAGGCTGTATATGTAGGAGCATTGCCAGCAGATTGAGGGACGTAATCATTCCCTCATCTGGAGTACTGTGTCGACTTTTGGGCCCCACACTACAAGAAGGATGTGGAAAAATTGGAAAGAGTCCAGTGGAGGGCAACAAAAATGATTAGGGGGCTGGAGCACATGATCTATTAGGAGAGGCTGAGGGAACTGGGATTATTTAGTCTGCAGAATAGAAGAATGAGGGGGGATTTGATAGCTGTTTTCAACTACCTGAAAGAGCGTTCCAAAGAGGATGGAGCTAGACTGTTCTTGGTGGTACCAGATGACAGAACAAGGAGTAATGGTCTCAAGTTGCAGTGGGGGAGGTTTAGGTTGGATATTAGGAAAAACTTTTTCACTAGGAGGGTGGTGAAGCACTGGAATGGGTTACCTAGGGAGGTGGTGGAATCTCCTTCCTTAGAGGTTTTAAAGGTCAGGCTTGACAAAGCCCTGGCTGGGATGATTTAGTTGGGGATTAGGTCCTGCTTTGAGCAGGGGGTTGGACTAGATGACCTCCCGAGGTCCCTTCCAGTCCTGATATTCTATGATTCTAAGGTAAGGTTCTGAAACCAAGCTCCTAACAACCTTTGCTCATCAAAGATCCAATGACACATTCTGCAGGAATAGGGCTGTTAACTCACCAAATTTCAATGTAATAGCATTCTGCCTATACAAATTGTCTCTGCAATTTCAATTATTATTCTTAATTTCCTGTTCTAAACTGTTGCGTAAAGTTCTTATGTGTTAAATACCTACTACCTTCCACCTCAGAATTGTTGCATTTAGTGACATAAGAAGAGATTCCTCTGTATGTGTGTAGATTATATGCAGTTATACAGTGTGCGTGTTTAAAAAAAAAGCATAGATGGAGACATCTTTTAGTCAGCCTTAGTTCTTAATATAAGAAGACATATATTTGTATTTATTTTGATGTCCTGAGGATAACTTATCAAATTGATAGATTTTCTGGTGAGGCTGCTAAGATTTTTTTTAAATAAAATGCCCCCCAAAATATTAAATTTATATAACTCATATCTCATGTTTTTTTCAAAATCTGTAAATTTGCCATTTAACAGAAAAATGAAGTCAAAAGAGTATAGATAATGTAAAGGAGCATGTTTTAATTATCTTCCCTTATATCTGTATTGTTTTGTGACTTTAATATTACCTTTATGGGTGTTCAAGATATATTTAAAACTTCTGAAAAAAAATCACTAGGCATCATATAGATTTTGGCAGTGCATTTATAACTTAATAGCAACCTCTTCAGTACACCTATGAATCTGATTTGCTTACTTCCGATTGTTGAAACACAGTTGCCATAGTGCCTGAAGATGCACAAACCATTCTAATTTTTGATACAAGCTATGATGATTTGGGAAACCAATATATGACTTTTGAATTCTGATTGCTGTTACGAAATTAGTATGAAGTTGCTGCTATGTAACTTGCTGTATCACTGTGGCCAGACCTACACCACAAAGTTTTGTGGGCATAGCTGTATTGGTCAGGGGTGTGAAATGACCACACCCCCTAGCCAAGGTAGCTATCCCAACAAGAGTATTTCTGTCAGCATACCTAATCTCATAGAATCATAGAATGTGGGGCTGAAAGGGACCTCAAGGTCATCAAGTCCAGCCCTCTGTGCTGAGGCAGGACCAAGTAAACCTAGACCATCCCTGACTGATATTTATCCAACCTGCTCTTTAAAACCTCTAACAATGGGGATTCCACATTCTGCCTTGGAAGACTATTCCAGAACTGAACTACTTTTATAGTTAGAACAGTTTTCCTAATGTCTATCCAGAATCTGCCTTGCTGAAGATTAAGCCCATTACTTCTTGTCTTACATTCAGTAGATATGGAGAACAATCCTCCTTATAGCAGCCCTTAACGTATTTGAAGACTTTTATCAGGTGCCACCTCAGTTTTCTTTTCGCAAGACTAAACATTCCCAGTTTTTTTAACTTTTCCTCATAGGTCAGGTTTTCTAAACATTTTATCAGTGTTGTTGCTCTCGTCTAGACTCGCTCCAGTTTGTCCACATCTTTCCTATAGTGTGGCACCCAGAATTAGACATGATATTCCAAGCGAGGCCTCACTAGTGCCAAGTGGAATGGGCCAATTACGTCCCATGTTTTACATACAACACTTCTGTTAGTGCACCCCAACATATTAGCCTTTTTCACAACTGCATCACATTGTTGACTCATATTCAATTTGTGATCCCCTAAAACCCCCAGATCCATTCCAACAGGATTGCCAGTTACTCCCCATTTTGTAGTTGTGCATTTGATTTTTCGTTCCTAATAGAAGCACTTTGCACTTTTTAAAATTGAATTTATTTTGTTGATGTCAGACTAATTCTCCAATTCATCAAGGTTGTTTTGAATTCTAACCTTGTCCTCCAAAGTGCTTGCAACCCCTCTCAGCTTGATGTCATTTGGAAATTTTATAAGCATATTCTTCACTCCATTATCCACGTCATTAATTCAAACATTAGATAGTGCCAGACTCAGGACTGACCCCTGCAGGACCCCACTAGATTCACCTTCCCAGTTTGACAATGAACCATTGATAACTGCTCTTTGAGTATCGTTCTTTCAACTAGTTGTGCACTCACCTTGTAGTAATTCTGTCTATTCCACATATCCTTAGTTTGCTTATGAGAATGTCATGTGGAACTGTGTCAACAGCCTTACTAAAATCAAGA